CCTGCACTATCTTCATATATGATTCTTTGGGTGACTATTATAAATAATCTTATAAAATATGTGTCCTTTATTATATTGTTTTCCCTTGCAAAACCCCAAACGAGGACAAAATCTAAAATAAACCAGAAAACTTTATGCAGTAAATAAGCCTTCAGTATGCCAATTTTATCCTTGGTAGAAAATTTAAAGGGATTAGGGGGAAAAAAAGCAGAAATAAAAGGGGAGTAGCTTAGGCTGGAGGACAAAGCAGAACCATGCAAACTTTGGGTAACTGGTGTACAAGACAGGAGGGAAAGAGAGAAGGAAGAAATAGAAGGACTGGAACAATGACAAAAAACCTAGAAACCATGTTCACACATATTTTTTATTTTTTTTACTTTTTTAAAGAGAATAAAAAATAAGAAAAGCAATAAAAACGATACAGAATTTCAAAACAAGATGATAGGAAATTAATAGTGGTTGTTATATTGCATTTTTTTAATTGAAAAACAAGGTCAAACAATGAAGGAAAAACAAAACAAGAAAAGAGAGAGAAAAAAAGTATCTACTTCAAGGTTTGTCTCTGATGTCACTGGTGGACAACATGTGGAGACAATACAGATCTCTGTTGATTTATCCCAGCAAGGCAGCAGTAACTTCATGGTGGGGTAGTGGATAATGTCAGCAGGCCTGCACTTTTATTTTCACTGAAGTTTAGGCTGATTTCTGGCCATGAGGCTGGGACCAGACTTGTTCAACCTTCAGCCGTCAGTATACCTTCTGTGAGCTTGAACTCAGCTGGGAGCCGGTAGGTGGACCCAGCAGTTGTTCTGAGTTCTGAGCTCAGTTGGCCCCTCTTCACGATGGATCCCGGCCAGGCCAGTCACCCTCTCCTGTGGGATGTATCCCGCAGCACTCACTACTAGCCATTGCAGTCCTGCACATCCGGTATTTCTTTCCTCTGCTTCCTCATTCTGTAGAGGCCTCTGGGGTCGCCAGCAGTCACTCTGTGTCAGTAGGTTTGAATTGCTCCTTCCATGCATTGAGTCCCGACTCAGGGAGAAGGCTTCACAGGGTACCTCCTTCTGTATTGAAGCTTCTTTCTTCACCTTCCTCATGGGCTTCAATTACTGCTTCAGATCCTTTCTGGGTCCAAGAGCCCCACTTCCCTCCTTCTTGTCTTCCTTGCATTGCTATATTTCAATGTCTGGACTGTGCATCTTAGAGAGGCTCTTTCTCTGCTGCTTACCACTCTGTCATCTTCCCTGAAGTCTCTTTACTTCTTTTTATCCTTACTTCTTAATTTACACATGTTGAATCATCCTGGCATCCCAGGGATGATACCAATTTGGTCCTGATTTATCATCTTTTTAGTGATTTATTGTATGCTATTTGCAAGTACAATCTCTTGTTGAGGAGTTTTGCACTTATGTTCATTAAATAAATTGGTCTGTAATTTTCTGTTTTTGTTAGGTCCTACTCCAGTTTTGGTATCAGGGTGATGCAAGCTCTAAGGGCCGAATTTGGCCATGTTCCTTCCCTTTTAGTATTTTGGAAGAGTTTGAGGAGTGCAGGGGTTAATTCTTCCCTGACTTTCTTATAAAATTCAGTGGTGAATCCACTGAGTCCTGGGTTTTTCTTAGTGGGTTTTTTAATTATTGCTTCAATTAACTTGGACTGCTCAGGGTATTTATATCCACTTAGGTCAGTTTTGTGTCTAGAAATCTAGCCATCTCTTCTAGATTCTCTAATTTATTAGAATATATCTATTTTCCAAATAGATAGTCTATCCTTTGTATTTAGGCAGCATTCTTTATGGTTTCATTTCTAATTGCATTGATATGGATTCTTCTTATACCAGTTTTAGATTTTTTAAATTGTTCTTTTCAAAGACCTTGAGGTACCTTGTTCTATTATGTGGGATTGCTCTGTTTTTCTTATATGGGCATTCATGGCTATGAACTTTCCTGTTAGAAGTGCTTTCATTGTTCAGGAATGTTGTACAGTCTTTTTTTTTAAGATGTTTTAATTTCTTGATTTCTGCTATGACTGATTGATTATTCAAGAGTGCATTATTTAATCTCCATGTGTTTCTTTAACTTCCGTAGTTTCTTTTGCTATCCATTTTTATTTTCATTGTGATATGATTTGATAACATGTATGAGTTTATTCCAGTTTTTTTGTGTTTATTTAAACTTGCCTTAAGGCCTAGTATGTGCTCTGTTTTGGGTTGCTGAGAAAAATGTGTATTTTTCTTATTTGTTTGAACACTCTGCAGATATCTAAGTCCATTTGTTTGAAGATGCAATTCAACTCTGGCATTTACTTTCTTGTTTTTTTGACTAGTTGATCTCTTTGTGATAGTGAGGTACTATGATTGTGTGGGTATTTATCTGATCTTTTATGGCCAGTGGTATTTTTTTATGAAGTTGGCTATGCCAGTATTTGGTGTGTATATTTTTACAGTTATTATCTTATCCTGTTGAATTGTTCCCTTTACCACAATTGAACAGAATGTGGCTTGCAACAGGGAATCAGGATCAATGGTCCATCCAGACCCCAAAGCCTCCTCACACACAAGCAGGCAACTGAACAAATCACAGGGTACACTAGCTCAAAGATTTGGAGGAGCAGGCTGTGGGCTGAGAGGGTGAGGAGGAGAAATACTCTGGAGCCACAACGATGCTCTAAGAAGGACAGAGGGGCAGGGTAGATCCAGACCCAAAAATCCATCTAAATCTCCCTGCGGGTCAAAGCTTCACCACCTGTGATGTGGGGAAAGAGCTCACTGGCTGAATTCAAACTCCAGTATACATAGCACAGTGAGGATGTTTCAAGTTTGTGTTCTTTTAACTGTGTGGGGTTGTTTTGTGTATTGGGTGGATTTTTTTTTTGCTTGTTTTTGTTGTTACTACTTTTTCCCTCGTTTCTTATCCCTGATTAGTGATGACTAAGTAATGATAAACCATTTTTACCATTTGTATATCTTATTTGAAGAAGTCCCTATTTTAAAATTTAATTCTTTTTTTTTGTTTTTGCTGTTGAGTTATAGTTCTTTTTATATTCTGAATATGAAACACTTACCAAATATATGACTTCCAAATGTTCCTTACTCTGTGGGTTGCCTCTTTGCTCTGTTAACTTTGTCCTTTGAGGCACAGAATTTTTTTATTTTGATATAATTCAGTTTATCTATTTTTACTTTGGTTACTTGTGCATTTGGTATCGTGTCCAAGAAATCTCTGCCAAGTCCAATGCATGACAATTTTCCTCTACGTTTTCTTCTGAGAATTTTATAGCATTAGCTTTTTGATTTAGATTTTGATACTTTTAAAGTTTTTTTTTGGTATATGGTATAAGGTAGAGTCCATCTTCATTTTTCTACATGTGGATGTCAAATTTTCCCAATGCCATTTGCTAAAGACTGTTCTTTTACCATTGAATGGTCTTGGCACCCTTATGAAAAATCATTTGACTGTTTATGCAAGGGTTTTTTTTTGTATTTTATTTAATGGCCTACGTATGTCTGTGTTTGTTGTTGTCTACTGTTTTGATTGGCTTTGTAGTAAACATCAACATTGGGAAATATAAGATTCCGGCTTTGTTCTTTTTTTTTTTTTAACAACTGTTTGACTATTCAGGGTTCCTTGAGAATTCCATATAAATTTCAGGATGGATTTTTTTTTCCTACAAAAAGCATCACTGGGTTTATCATGAAGATCGCACTATATCAGAAGATTGATTTGGATAGTATTGATCTCTGTCCTAGTCTGTTTTGTGCTGCTATAACAAAGTACCTGAGACTTCAAAGTTTATAAAGAAAAGAAACTTCTTTGTCACAGTTTGGAAGTCTATAAATCTGAGATGAAGGCATCAACCTCTGATGAGGGCCTTCTTGCTGTGTTAAAACATGGCAGAGGATGGGATGGTAAAGGGGCAAGGCTGTATCCTGTTGCGGCAAAAGAGCAGAAGAGAAAGCTGGGTGGACACTGTGAAGCCAGTATGATAAGGGCCTTAATCCTGTTTATGAAAGAGGTGCCCATGTGGTTTAATCACCTCTTAAAAGCCCCGCCTTGTTATACTGCTGTGTGACCAATGCCTGAATTTTGGAAGAGACATATTTAAACCACAGGAGCCTTGTAACAACAAGTCCTCCAGGCCATGAGCTTGGATGCCTCTGTTTATTTGTGTCTTCTTTAATTTCTTTCAGTAATATTTTGTCATTTTTAGTGCATTTTTTTCACAACCTTGATTATTTCTAGTATTTTTTGATGCTATTGTAAATAGTTTCTACTCTTAGATGCTTTAAATTTTTCTTTTACATTTAATTTATTTGGGATATGTTTTACTTTATGGTGAAAAGTAAGTCATTACCTTTTCAATTTTTCAAATAGTCAACCATGTATTAAATGTACATTCACAGTACCATGTATTAAATAATATTTTTGTTTTCCACAGATTTTTGATACTCTGTTCATCATATAGCAGTCCCTCTCTCCCCGCCTTTTTTTGGTCTCTTTGAGACAGGGTCTCACTGTACAGTTCAGGCTGGCCTTGAACTCACTTTGTAGCCCAGGCTGGCCTCCAACTTGGAACAGTCCTCCTGTCTCAGCCTCCCAAGTGCTGGGATTACCACACCCAACTTAAATTCCCATTTTTAACCAGAATTCTTGCCCTGGGTTGTGTAAACGATGTCACTCATCTGTCCATTTTTGTGTTCCTCCTAGAATAGGGTGCAGTTAGAGTCCCATCCTGGGAATGATTATGCAGTTAGCATTATGGAAGGCTATTGCCAAGCCATATCACCTCTTTACCCTCTTGTTTTTGTCTGTAAATGTTTGACCTTTTTACTTTCCATGTTTACCACCTAAAAACAAATGATTGCTTTTTGTTAGGATCATTAGCTTCCTTAGTTCAGCTACACTTATTTTTGTTTTGAATAACAGCTATGTTAACCTACAGCTTGGTGAGTCTTGCAGCAGGTTAGGCCTTCTGAGCATTGTTCTCATTTTTTCTGCCAGGTACTCGTTGGTTTATTGGTGTGCCTCTTGTTTCCTTGGGCATGAAGACAGTAAAGCAACCGGTGTATGTAAGTACCTGGAGAATTTGGGTTTGGGTGATCATTTTGTTCTACCACTTCAGTCTTGCTGCTTCATCATTTTCTTCTTTGTCAGTGTATTTCAACTTGTTGCTTCTCAGTTTAGATGAGAGGTATAAGTCTTCTCAGCATATTTCTTCAATGGCTTATTCATTTAAGAAAGCTTTACTGAACCTTTACTATACTAAGCACACTATGTGGGGATAATAACTAGATCGACCCAGTTGCTGTCTGCATAGTGTTTTCCAGCACAGGCAGGTAGGTAAGACAGTTGCCATGCAGTGTGATAGGGGCTGTCATAGGCAGACAGGTTTATTTAATTACACCAGAGGGCACTAATGCAGGCTTGGGCCTCTCAGAAGAAATGTGTCTAACAGTAAGTCATATGGAGGAAGCTGGGAAAGGTTTTTATTTTGTGCAGAGGGAACAGTACATACAGGGGTCAGAGGTGAAGGAGCATATTGGATTCCTTTTTAGGCTGAGCCAGGGTTTCCTCACTGGCAGAACTGTTGACACTGGGGGCCAAGTAATTCTGTCTTGTGGTGTCTGTTGCAGGATGATTAACAGCATTTCTGTCCTTCAGCTGTTAGATGCCAGAATACCTACCCCCGCCCTCCAGTTGTGACAGACACTCAGACATCCCTTAGGGGCCAAAAATCATCCCTGATTGAGAACCATGGGTCTAAAACTATATAAAATTGTTATATCTGAAAGTGTACTAGAATATAGCAGTTCAGTCTGCTGTGGTTCCACTTGGTAGTTTGTGTTGGAAGGAGTGGTACAAGAAGAGATTGGTGACAGAAGGGCCAAAGAGTCAGAAAGGCCCGGAGCCATCTGAAGATAAATCCTTCTGACCGGAGAAAACCCTTAGGTGAGCATTGAACGAGGGGGTATTTGAGCTCATGAGAAGGTTGGTTTTAAAGAAGCTTTCTGAAAATAGATGATGCCATTATTTCAATTTTGTCACATTTTTGTTGTATTTAGGGTTGCCTGCTTTCCTTTTTCCCTTTGTTGCTCTCCCCCGGTCCCTCTTTCCCTTCTTCTCTCTCCATTTCCCTTTTCCTTTCCCTTCTTCAACAGTTATTTAAACATAAGTTTAATTTCTGTAGGTTGTTGATGTGGCTAAAGGAATTATTAATGCAGTTAAAGATCCAGATGCCAAAGGAAAAACCTTCACTTGTGTTGGGTAAGTACCTAGAGTTTGACTTTAATGAAAGAATCATAGTTTGACCAATGATTGCTAAAAAGTTTCTTAACAGATTTGTACATTTTTACCATATCAGAATCTGAAGAGGAAATAAATTACCTATAGTTCATTTACTTGTGATACAAGTTTTGCCTGTATTGTAAAATTAGAAGTTGTTCTTGGACTAGCATGTTGTCTGTGTCCTGCAGTGATACTTGCAGATCTTTCTGGGATTTCAAGGAAGCTACTTAAGGACTTTGTATGATATTTCCCCTAGCTGATGCTGACATTTTATGGATTCTGTTCTTTTTGGTAAAATACGTCACAACGTTAGGTTCTCACTGAATTATCTTCATTCAGCTCTCAATAATCTTACATTTTCTGAGGCAAAAGAGAAGAAAATTGGTGAGAAGATATTAAAATGTATTATAAGTGATGGTAATTATTAAAGTTAGGTTTGACTGGTAAAGACAATTCAGATCCATGGAATCAAATATACATAAGAAAATACTGTGATAAGGGTGATATTTTTAATACAAGGGGAGGGGTCTATTCAGTAAGTGATTCTGTAAGTAATATTGAAGCAGTTGGCTAACTGTTGGGAAGGATTCAGTGACTGCTTTACCATATGTTATACAGAAAGATATGTCACAGAAGGGATTTACAGTTTTAAAAAAAATCTTAGACAAAATATATGGAAATTTATGCCACTGTAGAGGGATTTTCTAAATATGAAATCAAACCATGATGGAAAAGAAATCATTAGTTATGATAAAATAAAATGTTTAACCTTTTATATTATACGAAACACCAGAGATGATGCTAAAAGATAAAATACACATCATAAAAGATGTTCCCAACTATATCACAAAAATATAATTGCTGGTTTGGTGCCACATACCTGTAATCCCAGCACGTAGGAGGCTGAGGCAGGAGGATTGTTGTGAGTTTGAGACCAACCTGGGCTATGAAGTGAGCCCAAGGCCAGCCTGAACTGCATAGTGAGACGCTGTCTCAAAAAGACAAAAAAAAACCCCAAACAAACATACAAAAATAAATAAATAAGCCAGCATCTTAAAAAAATTAAAGACAATATAAAGAAGTTGTATGAGTCATCCTTAGGGACAAGATCTGTAGGAAGAAAGAGAAATGTGTAAATAACCAAAAATATGTGAAGAAAAAATTAATCTTACATATTAAAGAAATGCTAATTAAAATAGAGGCACTCTTCTTTCCTAGCAGGTGGGCAGATTGTTATGATTAAACTTATTTTTGATTAGGGTCATTCTTATTAGCATTTTATGTAAATTGGTATAACCATTTTATAAGGCAGTTGAGAAATATTCAACAAAAGCTTTAAATTTTCAGAATATACTTTAATCTAGTCTCATTTCTAGAGATATTTCTATGTATTTCTAAATACATAATTGTGGATATAGATACAAATATTCACTGCAGGAATGTTCATTGAAGTAGTGTTTTACAAAGGAAGATTTTAATTAGCTTAAATTTTTCAAAGCTGGGAATTGATAAAAATGCTTATGTGCAGTGCAAATATACAGTCGTTAAATGCACAGTAGGATATTTAGTGACATAAAAAGATGATTATAATGTAATATTTAGAAAATGACAGCATAGGTTGTATTGTATCATAGAAGAAAAATGGATGTATGTGAGGGAATGAAAACGATATATATCAAATATATGAACTTCATCTTTGGCAGACAGGTTACGGTGATGCTTCTTTGTGCTGACCTGTATTTGCTGCAATACACATATTTTTTCTTTTTCATAAGAAAAATGTAATTTTGTTAAATTAAAAACTTTGTTAGCAACTGCTGTAATTTGAAGAACTACATGTCTTTTTTTTTCTAGGCCTAATCGGTACCTCCTCTTTGACCTTGTGCAGTACATCTTTGCTGTAGCTTATAGACCCTTTCTCCCATACCCCATACCCCATTTTGCCTATCGGTAAGTAAAGTGCTCCTTTTGCGCACTCTCTGAAAAACAGCTAACCCGATACACACATTCCTGCTGCCCTCCCTAGGTCATGGGGAGCATGTCCCTTACAATGTAGAGCAGTCTGCAGACCTTGAAGAAGAGGTACTTCTCTGCTGATGTGAGCCAAGAGAAGCAGCACAGGTGTCTAAAGGGAGATGTGGATTAGTGTGGGTGAGATGAAGTCTTTGTTGGGAGTGTCTTCCTGTTCTCCAGTTAAAACCCACAGGGTTGGGTTGGGGATGGGTTCAGTGGTGGAGTGCTCGCCTAGCATGGCCAAGGCCTTGGGTTCCGTCTCCAGCACTGTAAAGAATAAACAGCAACTAAAACAGTGGAAAAGTGTCTGGCTTGGCACGTTGTATAATGGAACAATCAGACTGCCCTGCTCCATGCCACTTGTCCACATCTGGGGAAAGGTGCCTTTTTTATTAAACCAGTTTGCTCATATAGTGGGGAAAGGAGCAAGGCTGACTCAGACTTGGCCTTGTTGTTGCCTTCTTTTCCTTCCCTGCTTTCTTGGTTCACTTCTTCCCTTTGTAAATGGCTTTAAAAATCTTGGTCCTAACTTGTCACACCCTGGTGGTCTGAATAGGGAGATTTTCACGTCCATTGTACTGGAATGATTTTTAGCCAATAAGACAATGTACTCCATATTTATTCATTTAACAGATATTTATTGAATGCCTACTATATCTTAGGCAGTCCACTAGGTACCCAGGTTGCTATAGTAAACCCTCAGAAAACTGTGTGGTCTGTAGGGGTATTAGAAAAACAGTCAGTGGAGCTGGGGGTATAGTTCAGTGGTAGAGCATGTGCTGAGTATGCATGGGGTCCTGAGTTCAGTCTTCAGCACCAATGAAACAAAGCACACATGCACAGTCAGAGTGCAGTGTGATGGTAGTTACTGGAAATATTCTCCTTTCCAGGCTTTTTTGCTTATTTGTTCAAAGTGTAAGGGAGTGAAAACAGAGGCCATAGAAGCCTGAAGAAGGCCTCCACTTACTCCAGCAGAGTTAGAGAAATTTATTAAGGAGGGTAAAGACTTAGGTGGCCAGTGGAGAGCCTTTGGAAACCTAGATACTAAAGGAAAGGGAGGTTTGAAGGAGGATGGGTATTTATAGAAGGGGAACCTTGCAGTTCTGTTCATGTGTACATCTCTAGCACCTAGAACCATGCCTAGCATAGAGTCAGAGCTTTGTTAATGTTTATGGACTGCAATGCTGCAGAAAAATCAAGTAAGATAAAGGGCCCAAAGGTAGCCACCAAGGATGAAAAACATGGTTTGAGTGGGAGCTTTAAGGTAGTAGAGCAGCTGTAGACCGGATTGCAGTCAGCCACTTTCATGGTTGTGCATAAAATCAAGAGTTAAAGTCGGGGTTGGCATATGCATGCAGCATGGCCCACTAAGGGCACTGGAGTAGACCAGAGGTGATTTGCTAGGTGGAAACGGAGCATGGAGAGTGGAGATGTATGAAGGGTAAGTGCTCTTTGATTTTTTTATTTTTCAGTGTTGTTTTATTAAGGGTTATGTTAGCCCAATAAATCAACTTTTTTGGCCTTTGGGACAGGTTGACTGGAATTGGAAATTTTATGTTACTAGAAAAATTCTGACCAGTCTTAGACTTTTTTTTTATTTATTTCTTCTATGGAAGCGATTTGTGAGCTTTTATAAAACTGTGGATCTTTACGTTTGCTGAGTTCTTGTGGTTAGAGGCACTCAAGGTAAATGGGTTGAAGGCTGAGCTCATCTGGCTGTGCTGATGTGGTGCTCAGAGCTCAGACTTCCAGCCCTGGTCTTGGGCTCTGTGGGCTCTGCACTCCTCAGCTGCTGGTTGAAAACTCACCACCCTGAAGCTGCTCGTGACAGGAATTCCCGCGGGTGAAGGAAAACCTGCTGCTGTCACTGACACCACAAAGGTAGTGATGGAGCTTGTGAGCCTCCATCTGGGCTTTACATTCTTCTTCTGACTAGAATCATGGACCTTAAGCTTCTCTTGATGTTGGGGTTTTGTTTCCAGGGCCTGCTGCTTTTCAGGATCATGCTTTATATTCTGCATACTACTCGGCTTGCCCTGCAGCCTACGTAACAGCATATTTGAATGTCTCAGGCTTAGATTAGGTTAGATTTCACAGACTTGGTTGAGTGTTAAATTGTTTTGGGTTTGCTTTGTTATTGGTAATATTTCATTTTAGTGTTTAGTTTTTTGATTGTTGTTTGTTCTTAGGGTTTAGTTTTAAGTCAGTTATCTCTTTGGAGAATAGGATGAGTCCTCAGTTCTACTCACAGGCTGGGTTGTCTCAAAAGGAAGCAGGGATTCAGAAGCCATGGTGGCCTCACAGATAGGGAGCCAGGGTGTCCTTTTATCTTCTTTTAAAAAACATGCAGTAAGGTGTGGTGCACACCTATAATCCTAGCACTTGGGAGGCTGAGTCAGGAGGCGCGCCATGAGTTCAAGGCCAGCCTGGCCTACATAGTGAGTTCAAAGCCAGCCTGAGCTGTATAGTGAGACCCTGTCTCAAAAAACAAAAAACCAAATCAGTGAAATGCCCCTCCAGCAGCCCCCCTTCCTGGGGGTGGTAGAGGCTGGCTGAGTACTTGGCATAGCGATGCATATCACATGTGCCATGTTGTTCCTTTCTCCAGATGGGTGGCAAGGCTCTTCGAGATGAGCCCATTTGAGCCCTGGACAACGAGGGATAAAGTAGAGCAGGTGAGTGTGGCTGTGAGGAGCACACTGGAACTCCTCTGTTCTCACCTGCTCCCTTGCCTTCTCTCCAGTGGGATTGCTTCTGCTTCTCTGATGGATCATGCCAATGAGCAGACGCACGTGCCCAGTAGTCCTTCCCACCCAGTTAGAGGCCAGCCACTGTGCTCCCATGTCCCTCTAGCCACTTTCATGCTTGTATGTGTCCCTTTACACCCTAAGCTCACAAGAGGTGTCTGTACTTGTTGTTGACAACTTCTTACCCCATTCTTTCTTTAACTCACTTCAGTCACTTCTCTTCTGTACTCTAAAACTGGTTTTTCCAAGGTCTCCCATGATTTCCATGTGGGCAGATCCAGAAGTCAGTTCTCTGACCTCCTTTCCCTCCATCTATGTGTGGCACTGGTTAGCAGAGACTCTTCCCATACTTTTGCTACCCTGTCTTCTGCCCGATTTGGGTAGAAGAATCCATATGCTTTTGTTTTCTCTCCTCTCATTTGTAAGGCAATGCTGTTAAGGCTCTCTCTCTGCCTCATCCTCTCCTTCCTGCTTTCTGTATGATGGGGGATTCCAAGGATCTGTCCTCAGCCTTTCCTTTCTGTCCATACCATTTTCTAAATGATGTTCACCTTGTCCTGGGCTGCAGCTATGGACTGTGGAGGTAATGAGTGCACTTTTCTCTGTAGCCCTGAGTCTCCTCCCTGACTTTTTGAGGACTATATCTAACAAGTTATATAGGTTATGGTTTTCTGAGACATAACATGAGCAGCAATAGAACTGCAGACCTGCTCTTCTATTTTTTTTTTTTTTTTTTTGTCTTTTTGAGACAGGGTCCCACTATGCAGTTCAGGCTGGTCTTGAACTCACTTTGTAGCCCAGGCTGGCCTCAAACTCACAGCAGTCCTCCTGCCTCAGCCTCCAGAGTGCTGGGATTACAGGCATGCACCACCACACCTGACTAGACCTGCTCATCTCTTAAGCTTCCTCATCCTAGTCCTGTTCTCCACTGCTCATGCTAAAAATCTAGGAATTCCCCTTGATATTTTTGTTGTTTAGTCTAGATCCAAACCAGCACTGTCCAACAGCTCTCTGCAGAGGTGGAAATGCACCATGTCTATACTCAGGTATAGGCACCGGCAACCTGTGACTGGAGCACATCAGAATATGTGGCTGGTATGCCTACAGATGTAAAGCTTGCATTTTATTTAAATTAATTTGAAATTAAATATAAATCACCAAATGTGGCTTCTGTATTGGACAGCATAGAGTTAAATCATCAGCAACTCTCAAAGCAGAGGCCAGATCTTACCACTCCTCCCTGATTATATTGTGAAAATGTTTATGATTATACTGGAAGTTTTCAGATTATAGGAAGCAGAATACACACCATCTCTCCTCTCTGCACTCCAATTCAGGCATCTTCCTCTCTAACCCCTTCTCTTGCTGCTACACTCAACGCCTGCAGTGAACTGAACTCCAGCACCCTGGTTCCTTCCTTCCCACTGTCTTATGCTCATCCAACTCAATGATCATTTGCCCCCTGCATGTACAGGTGCTTCTAGGGAGGATGCTAATAAAATAACCACACTGCGCCATCTGTACCTGGGAGGCCAGGACAGGAAGCACCAAGCTGTCCCTGAATGTTACATGGAAGCTAAAGTGCAGAGCCACTGAGGAAGCAGTCATTAGGGAACAGGCAGCTGTCATTTCCCTCTGCACCATTCCCATGTGTCCCTTGCATGTTCATGAAACATGGGTTTGTCTGACACTTTTCTTACGCTGATGTGCCCCTTGCATTGATCACTGACAAAGTGTTGGCTCAGTGGGTAGAGGGGCTTGGGGTTTGGTTTGGAGACTGCTTTACAGCACTCAGTAAAAGAACCTCCGGGCTTTTGGGTGGGTAGGGAGAAGGATTGGTGCTGCTGCTGTATGCACAGACTAGTTCTGTTTTGGTGCTTTTGGCTGATCTGGAATCTCACAGGTCATTCCTGCCTAAACCTAGTGGGGTAGGTTTCCCACTTGATAGTGAGCGTTTAGTAACCTAAATTGAGACAGTCGGAGCAGAAAGGTTATTGGGTTACCTTTTCATGGGCAAGGAGCAAGTGCTACACTGTCTCCGTAATTCAGAAGTTAAAAACTGAAGCAGAGGCCTGGCACAAGAGGGCGCAGGCTGGGCTCTCTCTTTCTTTACCCCATTTCCCGCCTGAGCCCACCTGCTATGCCCACCCGGCCGCTGTGCTGCGCTGAGCCCACCTCCCGGTGTAGATGCAGTACCCTGAGTGTGCCCTGGGGGACCCATTCCTCATGTCCGGGGCCTGTGGGCAGTGCTGGGACCTGGGGCTGATCCTTGCTGATCTTCATTTTGGTGATTTGTTTTGTTTTTCTGTGTTCTACCTTTATTGAGTTCTAATACTCAAAGTACCACAGACTCTGAGCAGTACGGTGCATGTCTATAGTCCCAGCTGTCTGGGAGGCTGAGGCAAGAAGATCACAAGTTCTTTGAGCAATTTAGGAACTTAGTGAGGTCCTGTCTCAAAAAATAAGCTGAGACTATAGCTCAGTGTTAAAGCCTTGGGTTTAATCCCTAGAATCACCGGGGGGAAAAAATCTCCACGTGTTCCTTGAGAGCACTTGGCCTCGGCATTGGACTCATGCAGCTGGAGTATTTGAAGGTTTGCTAGAGTAGCGCTCCGTGTTCTTGGCCAGTTTTCAGCATCCTTTGTGGTCCTTTGTTTATTCGAAGATTCACATCACAGATAAGATACTGCCTCACCTGCCCGGCCTAGAAGATCTTGATGTTCAGCCGACGCCGCTGGAGCTCAAGGCCATCGAAGTGCTGCGGCGCCATCGCACTTACCGCTGGCTGTCAGCTGAAATTGAGACTGTGAAGCCCGCCAAGACGGTCAACTTTTAGTGGCCTTGAGCAGCCCTTGGTTTTGGTGTCACTCAAGTCACCTGGCTCTCAAGAGCCTGTGTTCTTTAGAGGGTCCTGTACCGAGTGCTAAGACCCCTCTATTAAAACATCTGTGTTTAGATAGCAGCGTTCTCTTTCTCGATTTGTAAAATAAAAAATCCCAGCCATTTAGAACTTGAACATAAATTTCTTTAAATATATACATATATATATTTAATAATGACACATCATTTATTCTCTGAAACATTGAAGTGTTTGAATTTCTGTGTATTGAGTCAAGCTACTTCTAGCATATGTTCTAGAAGACCAACCCCCTCGCCCAAGTCAGAATATTGTGATGATCCCAGGTAATATTTTTTTCCCATTTTAAATGGGAAAAGGTACAATGTCCCATAACTAATCGAAATTTATTCACACTTTAGATGTTTTTTAAAATTTATTTTGTTTATTTTTTTTCATACTGAGAATCAAACTTAGGGCCTCGTGTTTGCCAGGCAGGCACTGTACCACTGAGCTATATCCCCAGCCCCTAAAAATTCATTTTAAAGGTACACTTTAAACAGTGGTGCACATGAAGAGTGAGCAGACTATACAGTGAATATTTAAATTTAATACATGTGTGGCAGTAAAAGACACATTAACTCCCCCCTCACAGTCTCTGCTCTTGTTATCCCATTGTCTTTGCTACTCTCTGAAGCAGTTCTGATCAAAAATACTATGAACACTGCTGCTGAGTGCCGTCCAACAGGAAGGCAGACTCATAAAACATTTCATTGTGTCCCCATCTACCTTATTCACTAAATCTGGCACCGTGCAATTTTCTAACTCTTTCAAAGTTAAAATGACCAGGAAGGAATTTTGAATTGATTCAAGACATTGAGGCAGCCGTGTCAGTGCAACTAAAGACATGAAAGAAAACTTCCAGAACTGCTTCAGAATGAGGTAAGATGGAAGAAGTCTGTTCTAAGCAACAATATTTTGTGTGAGATTAATGGCAATGCATCTTTCACTGTAATGATATTTTAAAATTGGGACATTCACCTTATTTTTTGATCACACCTTTGTCTGTAGACATGGATTCTGAAATCCTTACTGTCTTGGATTTGAGCTGAGGCCTCCTGCCCATTCTCTTAGGGCCAGTCTAGGTTATTCCAGGCACAGAGGTATAGAGTGACTCTTTTCCCCTACAAAACAGATGCTTTAGCCTCTTTGCCAGTGATGCCAGTACTTAGAAATCAGGACTTTTGGTTTATAATTTTGCAGCTAAGATGTAGGAAATAGTTTGTTTATTGTTGGCAAATCCCTCAGTACTGTATGATTAAACTCGCCCATGATCTGTGGTAAAGCTGACACATTGCCGTCCTCAGTACTGAGGTTGGTCAGTGTTTTCCACTGGATTTCAGTTCCCTGATCTGTAGAATGGGGAGGTCCCTAAAACCCTGTCTGGTTACAGTAACATCCAGGGAAAGGTATCTGAATGTTGGAGGTGAGTTTTCTTTCTCACTCTGTGGTGGAAGGGCCTGGGTGGAAGAAAGCTGCTCACTCGGTGGCCGGTGAGTGAGATCCGCTCCAAGATCTTTGTCCTGGAGCGAGCAACAATGTATCCCGTGCATCTGTAGCATCGGCGTTTCTGAGTTTGTTGGAAATGTGGGTGCCTAGGCCCCATCCCAGGTCTGCTGGACCAGAGCCTACAGTCAGCCAGGTGTCCAGGAGGCCTGTATGCCCATGAAAGCATGAGAAGCAGTCCTGTCCAGAAAAGCTGCTGAAGGTTGTGTGTGGCCCACGCTGAGGGTCCATGTTGCTGAGTGTCGGAACCTCAGGGAAGGAGGGCCCTGGAATTCTGTGTTCGTTAGACATGTAGTTTATTCTTGTGCACACTAACATGAGAATCTGTACTGGGACATAGAGCCCAGTTCGGCTTCATGCATTTTTCTTCAGAATAGAGATCTCTTTGTTTTCAATAACACCCTTGCTGGCTGTAAGTGGTCAGCAGATGCCCAGAAGGGAAGATACGGTTTGAAAACAAATAGTAGTTCTATGAGGTGTAGCACTGTCCCCTAAAAAACCTGAACTTTCCAAGCAACATTGTTCTCATATCTTTGAATTGTATCATAACTCATAACACTACCTATTTTCTTTCTTTAAAACTAATTCAGCCAAGATACATTTTTTTTCCTATCACACCCAGTGCCCCCTTTTATAACATGTATTTTATTATGCACGTTTTATTACCCTGAGAGGAAAGTTGTAGTTATATATGTAATCACACCTGTGTATGCAATCAGAATGAAAGGAAAGTAGTGTACAATAAGATGACCCGTGTGTAGTTGTGTGGACACAATGACATTGAAGGCATAGTGAGGTTTCACTTGCTCCCATCTACGTGGGCCATCCTGATGCCATAGCAACAGATGCAGACTGCTCTTGAGCTAGCATTGGTGATGTGGCCTCTTAGTACTGTGAATGGCATCGGTGTCCATACTGTCAGTTGAACTAGTAAATGACTTCTCGTAAAGTTCAGAACAAACACAATATAATTGTCTTAGTCACTTTCTCATGACTGTGACACAACACCAGACACCCACAGCTTCAAGGAGGAGAGGTTTGTTTTGGCTTGTGTTTACAGTCCATGTTTGGCTGGCTCCAAGGGAGAACATGGTGTGGTGGAAGGGCCTGGGTGGAAGAAAGCTGCTCACTCGGTGGCCAGGAAGCTGAGCAAGAAGGAGGAGCCTGGGAGGGAGATTGACGCTCCTAGGTCGCACCTCAGGGACCTGCCTCTTCTGACCAGATTCCACCTAACAGCCAGGCAGCTGTCACTGCCGTGACTCCGTCACCTCCTGAAAGCCCCACCTGTAAGCACATGTAGCCTTTGGGGGACATTCTTGGATCGAAACCACATCAGTAACCCTCCCTAGATTTACATGGTGATTGCATTCTTAGAAAGCTGGCATGTCTTAAACTCATACCAGAGGTCCCTTGTATCTATAAAATGTAAATTCTAAGTTTAGATGGCTACCATTTGGTTTTAGAAAGCCCTGTGAAATGTGTTTCACTTCTTCATTTCCACATTCTGTGCCACGGTATGTCTACCATTGCCACTTCCCACCTACCACATGTGAACAAAGCCCTTCAGAAGTGTGTAAACCTATGTAATGCATTAAACCTATGTAATCTGACAAATCTACCTTCTGATTCTACTGTAAATTCCTTCCATGAAAAGCTAGGTGCCCTGCTGTAAATCAGGGCCCTCTTTTTTATATATCCTTCAGCCTTGCTAGACCTGAAGACCACCTCACAATCTATCCTAAAGGCAAACACAAGTTCTGTCCTGGAAGCTTATATATGAAAATACATGCAAAGAGCGCTGAGAGTAGAAGGAAGAGCATAGATGCTGAAGGTGCAGGCAAAGTATTGAAAATGGATTTTTAAAACTGTGTCTTGGGGGTAACCAGTGTGTGTGTGTGTGTGTGTGTGTGTGTGTGTGTATATCAGTCATTCACCATGAAGACAATGACCTGAGCAAATGACCAGCTGCGATGGAATCCATGTGCAGAGCCAGGGGCTTAACCTTTGAGTCCACACATTTGTTTCCTGACTTAATGGAACAGCTGTCATTCCTGAAAGATGGGAGGGATCTGTTTTATAAATGATGAAAATTCCATCCTCAGCACCTCGAACGTTGCCAGCCATTTGTTGTGTAAATGATGGACAAGATGCTATCTCGTACTTAGAGAAGGAAAACAGAGCAGTGTTGCTTTACGGGACATGAAAGGCCACTGTTGGATCAGGTGCCGGGCAGACTAGTGCCCCATCCACCTGCAGGCTCCCAGGGAACAGTTTCTGAAACACCGCTGGCCTGCTGACCTCTCCCACCTACGAGAGGAGAAGCCTCTGCATCCCTTTCTTACCATTTGGGAACTTTTACCATCACCCTTCAATTCCCGGCTAGCAATCGATGTCATTTCCAACCCCCTGACCTTCAGAGCTCCAAATACAGCCTCTATGGTGTAAAACCTCTGAACTACCATTCCAGTGTACTTGAATTTGTGTCTCCCAGGTTGCAATCTAAGTAGCTCAAAATAAATGTAAGTTTTATTCTTGGTCAACAGATGAAAACTTCACTAGACCTCAAATTGTTCTGTTTTTCTTTTTCAAGTAATAATTTAATTCTATAATACAATTTTAAGTTATAATACTCTCAGTGTGAGAATTAGGATGCCCAGTCTCCTATAATGATTAACCCCCAGCTTGGTATCCTTAAATCTACTCTCTGTCCCCCAGCTGGAGTCAAGAGGACCACGTGGTTGCCACTTCTCAGAATTCATTAGTTCCGTCCCCAAGTTGCCAACACAGATTGTCTTCTCCTGGGGTCTGGGCCCAGGGACAGAGGGGCTTAGGGGAAAGGATTGGGCTCAAGGGTCTTCTTGGATGGATGTCTGGACCCTGGCAACAGATAAACTTGAGATATACTTTTGGGAAAGTGATGAAGGTTTGGAATAGTAAGTGAAGCTGAGAAGTAGATGTTGAGAATAAAGTATCATATTTGTAAAACATCACCTATTAACCCTAAAGCACAAATGAATATAAGAATCTGAATAGCTGAATAAGGATACATAGTTTATGGAGGTGGTAGGGATGGAGAATTGACAGCAGTAGTAAGAAATTCGAAGGAAGCAGTGGTAGGGGAATTTGAGTCATCTAGTCCAACCTCTGTATTTTGTAATTGAAGAAGCTGAATAAAAAAAGAAAGTATGGGGGTGTAACTCAGTGGTGGAGTACCTGCCTAGCATGCGTGAAGTCCTGGGTTTCATCCCCAGCATGGGGTTGGGGCAGGGGCTTCATAGGATCGGGATGGGGAAAACAAACCTTCTCAGGGGCCAAGTGGCCTGTAGCTAAGACACTAGGGAATAGGCATGTAGGGGAATGTTTGTGCTTCTATGGAAAGCTGCATTGTCTGGAATACAAACACACCCACCATCCCCGGGTATCTGGATTGATTCTGTGGGAGCTGTTTTACAGCTCTGTAAAAAGTAGACCGCTTACAGGATGCAAAGCAGTTTGTGCTGTAGAAATGTAAATACTGTCCCGCGGAAGTATAGCTGGCCAGTCTGCCTCCGTGAGCATATTAATCTCCGAGTTCCTGATCTTGGGATTCTCCTGAGAACTATTATAAC